GTTTTTTTTATATTATTAGTTAGCTTTCATTTATTTTTAATTCAGTTTTATTTTTTAATACTTTTTTTTTTTTTTTTTGTGATAGTTGTTCATGAGTCCCTTGCTTGTCCTGAACAGTTAAACTGCCCGCTGTTGCTCAGAAAAAAATCATTCAGGTCCCACAAATTCTTTCCAGCATCTTTTGCATATTTGAACTCTTTCCAACAATGGCTGTATGATTTTGAGATCCATCTTTTTACATTGAGGACAACTGAGGCAACTATTACAAATGGTTCAAAACGTCACTGATGCTCCAGAAGGAAAAACGATGCATTAAGAGCCAGGGGTGTAAACTTTTGAACAGACAGACGATGTGTACATTTTACTTATTTTGCCCAAATATCATTTTTTTTTTTTTCATTTAGTACTGCCCTTCAGTAGCTACAGAAGATATTTACATGTTTCCCAGAAGACAAAATAAGTTCAGTTTACCCCGATCTTCAAATTCAAAAAGTTTTCACCCCCAGGCTCTTAATGCATTGTGTTCCCTTCTGGAACATCAGTGAGCATTTGGACTTTTTGTAATATTTTTAATAGTCCATCAAGAAAAGTCAAACAAATTGCTACTCAAAAGTCCCTCAGTTGTCCTCAGTGTGAAAAGATGGATCTCAAAATAATACAGTCATTGTTGTAAAGGGTTAAAATATGCGAAATATGCTGGAAAACCAAATAATTTGTGGTCCCTGAATGATTGTTCCGAAGAACAGTGGGTAGTTTAACTGTTAAGGACAAACAAGGGACACATGAACAGCTATCACAAAAAAAAAGGGCTATTGATCATCCAGGTAACACAGTATTAAGGATCAAGCATATATAAGCTTTTGAATGGGGTCATTTTTATAAATTCAACTACTATTTTCTCTTGTGGACTATATGTAAACGTATTTTATGTAAAATATCTTAAGGTCAGTACCAGAGGTGGAAAGAGTACGAAAATATTCTACTCAAGTAAAAGTACCATTACATTAATGAAATTTGACTTGAGTACAAGCAAAAGTACCAGTCTAAAAATCTACTCACGTAAAAGTAAAAAGTAGCTCATTTAAAATTTACTCAGAGTAAGAACCCTGGGAGGGAGGCAAAAATGGGATAGGCCAAGGGTGTCAAACTCAGTTCCTGGAGGGCCACAGACCTGCCCAGTTTAGATATAACCCTAATTAAACACATCTGATCCAGCTAATCTAATCATTTAGGCTTATTTGAAAACTACATAGTATGTGTGTTGGAGCAGGGTTGGAACTAAACTCTGCAGGGCTGCGGCCCTCCAGGAACTGAGTTTGAAACCCCTGGGATAGGCCTATAAATCTCAAACTAGTTGTTTTTAATTAAAGGAATCAGTTATTTAGATTAATAAGACATTTGGGCTATTGCCAGGCAAATTAAATCAGTATCAACAAAATTCATCTTTTCAATGCAGAGGAAACACAGAAGCTTCATCGGAAGTGGCATTGAGATGTATTTACACACTGTTTAATGCAGGACATGCATGCATTTAACCTGCAGTTACAAATATATCAAAACATTATTTCTGCATAAGACATAAAATGTTGAATACTCATTTGACATTATAAGTGGGAAAAAATCTAAAATATACTTTAAATGTGAAATTAAAACCACCAGTAGGTGTCAGCAAGTCACTGTTAATAAGTGAGTCATTGCGGTTGAACCAAATCATTTAAATGGTTGATTAATTCAGGAACAAAACACTGTCATGTTGCTCAGAGACGCAAAACTGTGCTATGGTGGCTGTGTTTGGAATTATTTTTGTTGTAGAAATAGAGCAAAAACAGGCAATATGGTGTCTAAAATGCAAGTCTCTTAATTAAGTTTTTGTTTATTGAACTGTTGTAAATCTATATGTAACCATGCTGATTTTTGGAGGAAAAAACTGCATTCTTTGTGTGATATTGATTTAATATATGAAATGATATAAATATATACATTTTCTGCCCCTATATCTTCAATTTTGTGATCATTCTAAATGCAATTTAACAGACTGAATCACGCAGTGAAAGAACGCAGGCTAAATGTGCGCGCACGCACTAGTCTAATACTACACTTCACAGCACTCTGTAGGAGTGTTTTGTTTGTTTTTTGGCAAAATACTGATAATGTCAAATCGTGCATCGTTAAAACAACAATTACAATATTATCGCAGACGATATATATCGCACACCCTGCACCACAGTCTTTTTGGCTAATTTGTGCAAAACCTCTTGCTAAACTGTCAAAGCTTCATTTTAACCACCAATGCAACGATGCAAGTATTTACCTTACATATACATGCTTGCGAAGGATTGATGTCAAGATTTTATAAGCTGCTAGCTTGGTCTCCCTATAGGCAAACACAGCTTAGACTGCATAATAGAGCTTAAATATGGCCAGGGGTTCACTTCATTTGCTTCGAGTTCAACTTCAGCAGAATACGACAGGGTTTAGTTTTCAGCTGGGTCTGCACCACTAATGCCTGTCTTGTCCGTCCATCTTTCTTGTGATTTTAGCGCCAGTTTGCTCTCCTGCCCATTATTTACTGCAGTAGTTTCCAGGGAGCGATTTTTTACTTTTTTTACTCAGTAATTAATGTGTTTTAAAATAAACAGTACAGTAAAAAGTACAGTAACGCGAGTAAATGTAATTCGTTACTTTCCACCTCTGGTCAGTACTAAATAAAAAATAACATGCATTTTGTATAATCCCTCTTATTTTCGTAAAATAATTAACATTTTGCAGATACTGCAAAGTGTATGTAAAATTGTGACTGCAACTGTAGATAGATAGATAGATAGATAGAGAGAGAGAGATATAGACAGTATTTAATAGTCTCTTAATAACTGATTAAATACTTAAGCTGTTCATGTTGATATCACTTGCCAGTAAATGTTGACAATCTTATCTTTCAGCTGGAAGTCTAACAATTAAAATATCTTAATTGTCTCTGAAGTATTATTCACTTTATCTTTTTAACTTGACTGATGCTTACTAGAATTCACTTTTCTACACTGTTAGACATTTCTATAATTTTCAGGGCCGGTTCTATACATTTGGAGGCCCTAGGCAAAATGTATATTGGAGGCTCCCCGGCCTCCTTCCCTCCACCTTTCAGAATAAATAAAAAGCACTTGAAACAAATATAATTTCTAACCTTTTTTTTTTAATACAAAACGTGTTATCAGTACTTTTATATATATTTACTTACATGTGCATATTAATTAAAATGTAACTAAGGTCAACACTTGAAAAGTACTTTGCCGTGTGGATTTTTGCAACTATTTCTTTTGTCAGTTGACTACACATGACATTCAGTAGCGTATTTGCTCATTTGCTCAAGTGCTCCTGCATGAATGGATCAAACTTTGCCAGAAGATCCACTTCCTTCAGGAAATGACTATTATCAGAAACATAGAGTTTGTCTGTGGATCCTTTAAGTCCAAGATTCCTATCTGTATAATTGCTAACAGCCTTGTGAGAACATTTCGCAACCTCTGGCTTTCTTCCCCCAAAAGGGTCATCTGCCGCCTGATCTATGGTTTTACCAGTTTTACACTTCAGGTGACAGTTATTTTATATCCAATGGACAAACAGCTTAGTCCTGCGCTGCCCGTCTTGATCTGTGAAATAGTGTATAGGTTTGTTACGGTTATGGAGGCCCCGCCTCCAAGCCTGAGGCCCAAGGCAATTGCCTGCTCTGCCTATAGCTAGTGCTGGCCCTGGTAATTTCTACAGTTATTTAATGTATATCATCCCATATAATCCATTTTCCCTTCATGTCAGAAACAGCGTGAGTGCTTGGAGTACTACTGTACATCAGAAATATAAAATCGTACGCTAGCTAGTTTAAACAAAAGTTTTATGGCTAA